TAATACATATTTTTATTTTTATACAATTTTAGTCTTATTGTTATATTAAATAATACTAATATTAATAATAATAACAAAAATAATATAAAAATAATATAAATAAAATCATCACATCAAATGTTTTATTTATATATTTTTTATATTTTTTATACATATTTATTTATTTTTTATTGTTTTATTTTAAACAATACTAATATTATTTACTTACTTTTATTTTCTTTTATATTTATTTATGTCCTCCGCTGCTCTTTTGCATGCATTATTTTTCAGCGTGTAATTAGTTTTACGTATAAATATTTGTTTAATATATATTTTTATTTCTAATAAAATTGTAGTCTCATTGTTATACATTTTTTATGTTATTTAATTGTATTTATTGCTATTAATAACAAATATAATAAAATAATAATATAAATAAAATAACATAAAATGTATCAGATTAAATGTTTAATTTTTATTTAATATATATATATATATTATTTTTTTAAGTCTTATTTTCATTTTAAATAATACTAATATTACATTTATTTTCTTTTAGATTTTTTAATGTCTTATGCTGCTCTTCTGCATGCAGTACACTCCAAACATCTCTAAAGTATTATTAGTAGAGGTCGACCGATAGTGGATTTTGCCGATACCGATAGCTAGGTTGGACCACACTGGCCGATACCGATTAATTAACCGATAGTTTTAAAATTGATACTGAACAAAAACTAAAATAGTGCTTTATTAACAAAAACAGTACTGAACCATACTAGTAGTAGTAGTAAAAAAAATAATAGTAATAGTAAATGTTGAAATTAACACACTCTAACACGGAACAATACTTACACAGCTTTCATTAATCTTAATGCTACAAATGTACTCTTATTTTAAAGTGTTACCATTTAATTTCATCTGTCATGCTTAAAGATGCACATCTTTAAATATATACACAAAGGCTATAGCATTAAAATGATATACATATGGATATTGTATGTATACTCTCACACTTTAACTGCTTCTATTCTTGAACACTTGATGATTATCTAATCAAAATAAAAGCGCAGCGCTGAGTCTAGGAGAACTCACCAGTATCTCACACACCCCAGATGCGTCGCGTTCAACTCGAGCAGCGGTCTAAAACAGTTTATTTAATCACCAAACGGACACAAGTTTACTTCAAGAATGAACAA